CCATAGATCCATCACCTAGTGTTGAGAGAGGTTGAGAAGCCTAAGCATGATGTCGTTACCTTTGACTTGTTTGGGAATAAGGTGTCCTTTAGCAAGTGGGAGTTTGACCTAATCACTAGGCTTAGACACAAAATGAATAGGTTAAATGATGATATTCCTAGCCGAAGGCTTAGAGCACAGTATTTTGACGATAAGGTGAAGGTTAAGTGTTCGCACTTTTGGGGAAAACTTTTACAGAACTTACTTTCAACAATTACGAGGATGCTATAGAAAAAGGCATAGTTTACTTCATATAGCTTGCTATGATGGGTAAGGAGAGGGAGCACTTATGGATATGAAGCTATTAGGAATTGTCGAGCAGTATCAGACGTTCTGTAACTACACTATAATACGTTCTGTAACTTTGGTTTTAAAATGATATACATGTCGAATTATAATATCAGTCTGTAAGGGGTTTATACTACTTAGTTTTACATGTGACCTATAAATTGTTCATACGTGATTGTAGTATCCTCTGTCAAGCCTCTCGTACGGCTACCTACATAACCCTTTTCGTTATGCTCCTCCAATGAATGTTATTAAAATACAAGGAATCATGCCAACAATATTTTAAAAACTAGGTAAGGTTATGAGATAATGTACCATTAAAAAAAAAAAGAGATAAGCATTGAACAATGCATAATTTTTTTTAAAAAAAAATCGAGCTTTCATAATCCTGGATTGGTAATCTTTGTCTGGGACAAGATTGCCAATAATGGTCTCATACCAAGATTGCCTAGTCCTGGACCAATGTTGGGTAATCTTGGTCTAGGACAGTATAACATTAGTCGGGGACAACATGTCAATCTCGGATCTGGATTGGACATGTAGTCCCAGATATGCATTCCAAGTCTGAGATTGAACATTCCAAGTCCAAAATGTTATGTTTTTTTTTTCTTCTTTTTTTTTTTAATGCAGCCATTGAGAGGGTAGAATAGAGGAAGAAATTCAAGTATGAACAAAACTGGAATGATTCAAAGAAATTCAACAATTTGAAAGTAAAAGTCATTGTAGGACCTACCTACCTTGTGAAAATATGAGAACAATGATAATCAGTAGTGATAGGGGGCTTCAGTTAAAATTTAGTAGTTAAAATTTAGTAGAAATAATTTATGAGTTAGCAATCTCAAAATTCATAGCTACATTAAATTATTAATTTAGTATATCATAATTGTCCTTTACGAATTTTCATATTGTGAAATCGTTGCATAATAACTTCAATGAGTGAGAGTTATAAAACTTTATATGAGAAAGTATTGATATCATTTTATATATTTTGATTATTAATTTGTTCAATAATAAAAACATGACAGATTTTTTTATATAAATATACAAGAAATTATTGGATGGGTATGACAACCCTAGAGGAGGGTGAATATGGTTTAATTAAACTTTATAAACTTTTTAGCACGGTGAGCTCAATTTAAACAAATAAGTAAACTTTTTATGAACAAATGATTTTAACACAAAATTAAACAACAAATTAAAAACACAAACACCCTAATTAATTTCACCACCCAAATAATTCAAATATAAATATTGACCATAAACATGAAGAACAAATTCGAACAATTAATTTCATGCAATTTGTAATAAAGAAAATTAATTGCAAAAATTAAATAGAGAAGGGTTAGAGAAAATGACACCGGAAATATATAGTGGTTCGGCAACAACCGGCCTATTCCACTCCCCAAGCACCTCTTGGGTATTCGATTAAGAAACTTGACTCTTTCCATGGTAGGAGTCAAACTGGTACAAAGCCTTTTTTTTGTTTGGAGCAATAAGAAACCCGATCATTTCTACGGTATAAGATCAAACCATTAAAACGCTCTTTTTCAGGCTCAAAAGAAACCCTTATAAAAATTTGGAATTTGAAGAACGAACTTACAAACTCTCCCCACAAGAGTACATATACAATTTTTTTGCTCACAAATTTGTAAGAAAAATTCTTACAAATAAGACCCTCAATTTGGCTAAAAGAAATAAAATTGGAAACACAAATATCTCTAAAATAAAATCTCCCATCACAAATTTAAACGAACAATGAAACTTTTGGAGAGATGAACAATAGATGAATTTGAGAGAAAATTGGGAGAGAAAATGTTGTAAATTTTTTAGAGGATGGGTTTAAATAGAGGAAAAAATTGGAATGAAATTTGAAATCCAGATTAAATTTTGGTCATTGGATCTTTAATGGATGAAAATCAAAAATTGAGATTTAACTGAATAAAATAATAATTGTTTTTAAAAATATAATATAATTATATATAATTATATATTTTATATATGTGTGTAAACGGTAACTAAAGTTTCAAATAAAAAATCCCAACGGCTCTTTTCTCTCTCTTTTTTTTTCTTTTTTTTTCATTCTTTCTTTCCCATTTCTTTTTTAAACTAAAAAATTTCACATCGCCACATGTCGCCATTTTATTAATTTGCTCGGTAGATTCAACTGCCACATCATCCTCTCGTTATTTTTCCTTTCAACTTGTTTGGATCGAACTTCTCCATTTGAGCTTCGATTTGGATGATCTAATAGTCGTTGAAATCGTTGTAACGAGCTTTACACCGTGGATACTTCAAAACACTAAAACACTTTATTAAATAAAATGTGTATTATCAGTAAATTATATAATATTATTGAAGCTCATAATAAATTTATGTTTTATAACAATAATTCTCACACACCAAAAACAATTAATACTAAGTATGTTTGATATCATCAAAACATTAATTAATTAAATTAATTAACCGAGATTAATGTCCAAAAAACCAACAGAAATAAAGAGAACAAAACTTGAAATAATAAGTATAATTTTTTATTTATAAGAATTATAATGTTTTTTATTCAATTTAAATTTTTAAAAATATCTTTTTTATTCATTTATATTTATATTTGATATAAAAAAATAAAACAAATTTTTTAATATTAGTTATTAGTTATTAGACAATTAACTTTCTAAATCGTTCATTTTCAAGTTCAAAGTAAAATTAAGTATAAAACATTTGATATATATATATCAATAGTAGTATAACTAAAAAGAAAAATAAGCACTGAAATCGTCGGCAACAATTAGACCAAAGAGACTATAAATATATAGGTATAAATTGAAAAAAGAATCTTTATGATTCAAAACGATGGATGATTGTATCATTTAAAAGTGTTGAATAAGAAAATTACTTTTATAGAAAATTAAGATTTGAATATCCACTTTATTTTTTTTAATTGATATATTTATATAAATGAATTTTTAAAAATTTATATAAAAAATAATAGAGAATCACAAAAGGTATGATTAAATGGAGAAATCATGTATGATTCTATAACTCGAGCTTCCAAGTAGGGGTGTTCACGAGTTGGGTTGGGTCAGGTTAAGGGTGTTTTCGGGACCAACCCGAATTTTCGGGTTGGCCATATGTGGGAACTGGTGGATTGAAAAATGATGGCCGATTTTTGGGTTGGGTCGGGTTGGGTTGTCAGGTTGTCTTACCTACTTAAAAAATGGGTAGGGGGATAAGATAGTGGAGCGGGCGGCGGTGGCGGGAGGAGATGGTGAGAGCTTCAAGCTTGGTTGGGTGGACAAAAATGGAGGAGAGGGTTTGGTGTTGGATAACAATGGAGGAGAGTAAGAGATTAGAGAGGAGATTAAAAAATGAAGCAAGGAAGAGAAACCCTAAATGATAAATTGATGGTTGAGATTGAACATAAAAAGTAAAGGTATTAATTAATAATTATTATATATTGCTTATGGTATAGGCGAGTGAGGCGATCGCCTAAGGCCCCCTATATTAGGAGGCCTCATATTTTTCATATACTAGTCTTTTAACACGTGCACCACATGGTATCGAAAGTCTTCAAGTCTTCAAGTTTTCAAAGTCTTGAAGTCTTGAGAGAATCTTCAACTTGGTTTGAATTCTCCCCCTTCTCAAATTCTGAATCCTGAAAATGAATAAGGTCCCCTCTATTTATTGAGGTTTCCATAGGCTTTGGTGGGCTATTGGGCTTGAATAATTTTGGGTCAAACCCAATTGTTTAAATAGATTTATTTAAATTAAAATATTAATCCACTTGATTTCATGGTAAATTGGGTTTTGGGCCAATGTTCTGAACCAAATTGATTCCAAGTCCAATACTCATATGACCCAATTACATATTTTAATTGCCAATTTATTTTTAATTTTAATTTATGGTTAATATATAATTAATCGCTAAATAAAATAGATAATGACGTGGTCGTTTATGATTGGCCCAAAATTTATGTTTCTACAGGTGCATTTAAATTTTGTTCCTTAACAATTTTTTTCAATATTCATAATTTGTTTAGGTTAAATCTTAGGAAAATTTTAATATCTCAATTTAAAAACAAGAATATTCTGGTATTTTACTTCTTAATAATATATTTTTCTTGCTAACTTTGATATATATAATGTTTATTTGTTAATTATTAATTTAATTTTTTCATTATTATTGTAAAATAATATTTCAAAGACAAATTATTACATAATAGAATAATATTAAAATTTTTGCTCTCCTAAACAAAATGTTCAATATTCATAATTTGTTTACGTTAAATCTTATGAAATTTTAAATTGATATTTAATATCTCGATTTAAAAATATAGGTATTCTCATATTTTACTTCTTAATTATATATTTTGTCAATTTTGATCTATATAATTTTTATTTGTTAATTATTAATTTACTTTTTGTTATTGTAAAATAATATTTCAAAGATAAATTATTGCATCATAGCATAATATTTAAATTTCTGTGGAAATTTAAACTAATAAATAATAAAAACAAAACTAAATTTAGAAACTAATTTTTTAAATCTATCATATTAATTATTAATAAATTGTTAACTAATTTAAGAGATATAATAATTTTTCAAGAACTTAGATGGTGGGGGAAATAGAATCAAAAGTTAATGAAAGAAATTCTAAAAAGACAAGTTAATGAGAGAAAGAAAATTATAATTAAATAAGAGAGAGATGATTGAGAAAAGATGAGAGAGTCCCACATAAAAGAGGAGAGGGATGAATGAGAGAGAAGCATAAAATTGAAAAGAAGGAAAATTTGGATATTACAAAAAAAAAAGTAATGGTTAATATTGTCCAAAAAATGTTTCTTCCACATCTGTGCTTTTTAATATATTGTAGAATGATAGATATAAATATATGTTTGTATATATAATATAATATAATATAATATTGTCATCTATTTATTCTAGTTTTTACTTATAAATGTACTTTGAAATATAAAATAATATATTTTCCATGGATCTTGTTCTTATAATATTGAAAATACAAATTAATAATAAATATAATTCTCTTGAAAAAAATCTTTAATTAAATATAAAATTCATAATCAATTCAACATATAAATTTCTCTAGATTTTAATTTTTAATTTTTTGGGAAGAAAATGGGACTAAAGCCCATTAAACTAAAAAACATGATAAGACGAAAAAATAACAAGACGGGACATGGAGACCTCAATACATGTGCAATCAATGGAGAAAAAGAGACTATTAGGAGGTTGTTCACACATGTGTAAACCTAAGGGAAGAAACACTGTTTGACTAAGCAAGCCAATATGCACAAGCATCTAGTTCACCATAAATTTTTCGGATACTAACAATTCATCTCAGAAAATGAAATTCTCAATATTTAAAACCATACACAAAAGAACTCTCAATTCTAATTACTTTTATTATTTTCTTCAGGTTTAAAACTTTTCAAACTTCATTAAAAAAAACATTAACATAACCCTTAAAAATTTAGATACTCTGTATTCTTTCTCCTTTTATTTATTTTTTTCACAATTAAAATTTTTCAAATTCTCTTAAAAAAAAGACTTTACCATAAATATATTTGGTAGGTTATACTAATTTTAACTTAATTCTGTCAATCAAAATGGTTAGAATAGAAATCAAAGTTTAAAAACTTATTCCATTTCTTTTACATTTTTTAAAATGTATTTCATATTGTTCAACACGTTAATATTTGAGGTTTGTTTAAGTTTACTTGCTTCTTTCAATATAGAATATTAACATGTCTATAGAAAATATGAATATGAATATGAAAAGCTTGAGAAAATATAAAATATAAAAACTTATTGAATCTAAAAAATGTGTTACAAAAAACGGATTGAATATCAAAACATGTTATCAATAAATTTTTTTAGTAGAAGTAAAAGTAATAAAAATGATAAAATAGTAGAAAAATAATATGTATAGATAAATCAAAACATAAACAAAAATGATAGATAATGAAGCATTTAATAAAATAAAGTTAAACTGAAAAAAATAKTCATATTAAGACCTCCGATTCAAAATTTTGCCTAAGGCCACATATCATCTCGAGACGTCCCTTATATATATATATATAAACAGTATGTCGGGTTGGATCGGGTCAACCCGACTTTTTCAAGGATCAACCCGAGACCCGATCCAACCTAGTCGGATTGGGATTTTTCCAACCCAACCCAATCCAATGGGTTCATCGGGTTGTCGGATTTTTTAAACACCCCTACTTCCAAGGGGCTCGAGAGATTACAAAAAAATAAAAGATTCAAAATTAGATTTGAACAACCTTGAACCTAGACTTCAGGGAGACTGGGCATGCATTATGTCACCAAACCAACATACAATTTGGATTTCTCCAAATATTTATGTATTCAACGAATCCCTCAAGGTCGATGCTGAATCAACGCTCGATGATAATGTGGGGACAATGTTGGAACAATAATCGTGAATATTTGTATGAGAGAAATATAGGAAAACGTTAGTTGTGTTTTGGAATTGCAAAATAGATGGAACACATAAGGTAGTTGAGATTTTGAAATTCAAAGTTTGGTGAAGAATTTGTGATAGTTAAACATTTATCATCCCATAAAGCTGATTTATTATATAATAAATATTTACTTATTATATAATAAATACTTACTTATTATACCATAAATGTTTAATTATTATACTATTAAGAAAAATTAGTATTTTTTCATATAGAAAAAATTGAAAAGAGTAAAAAACACGTGTGAGTCACAAATAAGGATTTTTTGAGAAATGATCCAAACCAGCATAGTTGAACGATAATTGACACATATCTTCAATCAAAAGGTTGTAAGTTCGAACCACTGAAGAAAAAAAAAGTTTTTCAATAAATGAGTAAAAAATCCAACGTGATTATTAGGAGACAAAAATCCCAATTTTTGTATATAAATAGGATGAACGGGGCGAGGTTTGGTTTTGTCCTGAACTGAAAGCTCAGTGCGTTCCATCCATCCTGTCAACTTGAAACCAAGGGGGAAAAGGAAGTCGCCAATGGCGGGGAAATCTGAAGCTGCTCCCCATCCCTACGTCCCCGCAGATCTGCAACTCTCCGAATATGTTCCCGTTTCACTCCCATTCTCCACCATTATCGGCGTCTATTTCCTCTCTTCCATCCTGGTCACTTCTCTCGTCTGGACCCTCTCCGGTATCTTCTCAACTTTCCTTTTTGTAATTCTTTAAACTCTGTTTTATGTTCATCAAACTCTGCTTGATTTCGTGCCGGAGAAGGAGATCAATAGTTTTCATAATCTCTTGTTGTATTGTTTTCGATCCCGTCTCCTTGGTAGAGCTCATATGTTGAATTAATTGGAGGAAACCGAACAATTTTATGGATTCTTAAGTCTCTTGGGTATTCCTCTGGTAATTTTGATTGCATCTCGCCTATTGAATGTGCCGCCTGTCCCGAAGGCTGATGGTGAAACCGATGTTTTGGTCAACTCTGAGTTTCATTCAATTATTTTTTCTGTTGTTTTTTCTTTCGAGAAGATGCAGATCAATTGACGGATTCTTTTTTAGGACACCAGATTTCCTCTGTTTTATCTTGCTGTTCGTTGTGTGATTTGTGCTGCTGTTTTGGGAGGTGATTACTTTAGAACGGCTATCAGGGCGGAACAAATCTAATTTTCATTTTAACACGAAACACAAACTGTATTCTGACATGATGGCAAAATACGTTTCCTATGATTATTCTCTCTTGAAACAAAAGGCTATAAAAGTCTTCCTCTAAACAATTATTCTTCCATTCACTTTATACCAGATCAAGAACAGGAATGCTAATAGGATAAAATGTTATTGGCTGGTAAGTTTGTTTTTGTTGAGTGGTTATGAATAGAGTGCATTGGGGAGTGAGAGGGGCAGATTTTCTTGAGCAGTTTGGGAAGAGTACTAGGCATCTCGAAGAGCTTGGAATGTTGTAATTTTTGTCTAAAATTACTAGCATACTTCCCTTAACTTCTTCATTTTTTGGTTCCTATCGAATTAGTATCACAACACCCGTCCTTGGAAATGGATCTTTTGAAGTCTTGGATAATATATGAGAATATTGTTGAGAAGTGTTCAATGACTTAGGGTCCAGGGTCCGTTTGATAACCATTTTATTTTTCGTTTTTTGATTTTGAAAATTTAGCTTATAAGCATACTTTTTATCTCTGTGTTTCTTTTTTTTTTCTTTGCTTTTTTATTTTGTTATCTACCATATAAAAATATTTTCAAAATGTAAGCAAAATTTCGAAATTAAAAAAGTAGTATTTAAAATTTTTCTTAAAGGGAACTAAGAATTCAAATTAAGAATAGTGAAAAAAATACCACAGAAATTGGGAAGTATGCATCATTTTTAAAAACAAAAAACTAAAAATGGAATTTTTAATAAATGGGGCTTAGCAATTCATGAGGGAGAAGAAATCTAAGGAGAATTTCAGTTTAGAAAAAATAAGGAGAATCAAAGGACGGTGAAAGAAGGAGAACGCAGAAGAAGCTTAATAGGAACAATCCAAAGTTGAAAGAAACGAAATCCGTACCTCACGTAGTATTGTACAAACATTAGATCCTAACACCATCAATAAAGTTGGGAACACTTAACAATGGGTGATAAATTCAAACATTGTACGAAGGGTTGGAAGTACGGAGAGTCACAATTTCCAATGACAAACAACCAATTGTTATAGTGCAAATTCACGGGGAGAAATGAAGGGTTGTTGATTTCATAGAGTAGTAATGAGAGACTACTCAAGAGTTCGGTGCTGTTTAATTTTATCTTTAATATCAATAGCATATCTTCATTAATTTGTACTTAAATCTATGGTTCATATCTTCTATTGGAAATGGATCTTGAGTCTTGGAGAATATTGTTTGAAACATGCAATATGGCAAAGAAATTGTTAAATGATTTAGCACCCATGAGGGAGAAGAAAATTGAGTACCGTCTCAGTAACTTTTCAGAAAGATCAAGAGGTTGATGGTAATTGCAGCATTAGGATAAAAGAAAAGGTTTGATGTTGGGGAGGAAAGCTTGGGTCTGGGCATTTGTTTTTTCTTTAAAAGAAAGCATAGAAGAAGTTTCAAAACTTTGTGAACTTAAAACCTCTGGTTGGTGTCACATCCTTCCTTGTTCCGACCTTCTGGGCTCAGATCTCATACAACATAACCATTGTCTTTGCATAAAGTTGTAAAAATAGATTTTGAGGACTTATGTTGCAAGCTATGCTACATTTTGCTTTCTACATCACCTTTTGTTCTTTTATTTTGCCTTTCATGTCGTATACTTGCTCTCTGCATCCTTATTCCTTATCTATTTGTTTTTCATTTGAGTTGGAATTTGAAATTATCAATGAAAAAAATGTATAGTTTCTTAGCATTGCAAGTATATTGTTAGAACCTCCAAATATATTGAAAGATAAAAGATAAACGAACTACAACAACTACCAAGTATTAGAGGTACTTGGACCCTCCCCTCTTGAGATATCACTCAAGCCTAAAGCATACTCAATAATTGGATACCTTCATTCCTACACACTCATTCTATTTATAACGACTCTCCCTAAAAACTTCCCTATCTAATTACTAAGGTACCCTCAATACCATAATAATATCCCTTTATTACCTAAGGCCATTCCTATCATATATTTGTTAGTATTGTTTAGAATGGTTCCATACTTGCTGATTTTATCTTCATTTTCCCCTTATAACAGGACGACTTCCCAAAAAAGCTAAGATTGAGAGGTTGCTCATGTGCTGGTGGGTATTTACGGGCCTCACCCACATGATTTTGGAGGGTTATTTTGTTTTCTCTCCAGAATTTTACAAGGACAAGACTTCTTTCTACCTTGCTGAAGTCTGTAAGTCAACTTAATTCACTTTCTTTATAACCATAGTTGCTGTGGTAAGGAAAGAGCTGTGTGGATGTTCCTCTAATGTCCCGTGTACACAACTTTCCAGGGAAAGAATACAGCAAGGGAGATTCTCGATACGCTGCTAGAGAGTCGGGAATTGTGAGTATTGAAGGACTGACTTCCGTTTTGGAGGGTCCAGCGTGCATCTTAGCAATGTAAGATTTTATCATCTGAAATTTAGAAATGCATTGAAGGATTTACATTTGAAGTTTCTGTTTTGAATAGGTGTATTATATGTATTGTTTTGTCTCAAAAAAAAAAAAATAAAAAAAAATAAAAGAACATAGGTGTAGTATATGCTTCTGTTCTCTTCCTTTCTATTCCTTCAACAATTTTGCTGGCCTGGAAAATTCGCAGGTATGCAATAGCAACAGAAAAGTCATACAGTTACATACTGCAGTTTGCTATATCATTGGGGCAGCTTTACGGGACTTTTTTGTACTACATAACTGCTGTGTTGGATGGTGACAACTTTTCTTCTGGCCCATTTTATTACTATGCATACTACGTAGTGGCAAATTCCTTCTGGATTCTTATTCCCTCGCTTATCGCCATACGGTGTTGGAAGAAAATTTGTGCAGCAATGAACAGTGAAGGCCACAAGAAAAGAAAAATTCGCTAAGCAGTTCTCAACAATTAATTTATTTTGTGGACGTATATCTCAGATTCATGAAAAGTTGGTTGTCCACACCTGCACAAAATTCTTATTGAATTGTACTAAAAAATAGTTGTGTAACATTCAGAACACAAGACAGTTTGTGGAGTTTGAACTTTTGAAAGTCTGTCCAAGATGATGTGCTTACACGGAGTTAGTTATGTTGATTCTGCAATTTCTGGGTGTCGAATTGACATAGATGATTCCAGTTAACTGTAGGGTCATCTCGACAACTTTTTTGGGACACTGGTTAAATTGTTTCTCAGATCTTTGTTGTTGTAACTTGTATGTCAGCAAATCTGCTTCTCTCTTACTGTATGCTTCAATGTATGGATGGACTGTACTATAAATGAGCAGAAGGGAATGAGTGATTGTTTGAGCTAGTTAATCTTTGAATGTAGCGATCACCGTGTCGAATTATATGTTCGTTTTGTTTTTTTCTTTCTTTCTTTCTTTTTTTTTTTTGATGCATTATGTGTCTGTTTGAACACATGATCTCCTCTGGAGTTCTAGTATTCCTTGATGGAATGTCAAGAAAGGAAAGTTGCAAGGTTCCTGTGCCAGGCAGTTTTAGATAAGTTGTCAATCTTGGATATCACTCATAGTCAGCTTTGGTAAGAATATCAATTATTTAATTGGTGGTAGGAATATGAATCAAGCTTTTGGGCAGCCATTTTTTGTTGAATAAAATGTTAATCTTGCTATGGTTGGAGCAAGCATGATAGGGGCAGGTTTTGAAGCCATGGCTATACTACAGAAAAATCAATGGAAACCCAATTTACTTTGTTGATGTAATAGTTTTGTCTTTATAAATAATTTTTTAACGTTAGTGGACCTCACATAAGTTTTAATATGATGTTGATGTAACAAGTAGTGAATGAAGTTTTATTTTAGGTCGTAGCTTTCATGTTTTTTGATTTTCCAAATCTTTATATATTTGAACTTATAAAGAAATAATCATCTTCACATTACTATTATTCTGCCATTTAATTAATATGAGTTCATTCTATATCTACTACAATCAATCTATGTTACTCATTTGTATATCTATACTTTATTCATTTGTTGATAATTCATGATAAAATAATCACTTGTACTAAAAGAAAAGATACAATAATGCAATGACAAAAAAATAAGATAAAATAATGACAATGACCAATACAGTTGATACTTTTTGATCTTGTTAACAACATATTTTTAAGGGAAAAAACTTTGTTGATGCAGAATTCCGCCGAGCTCCACAGGTCGGTCACAAACTAACTGGAGCGAGCTGCTGAGGTGCGACTCTTGAGACACTGGGACCTGTATAAGGTACAAACACTCCTACGCCTAAGTTAGATCGAACTGTAGTAGATTGTTCTCAGAGAGAATTGCATACCTGATATGTGGGGTGGAGTATTCCTTTTATAGGTAGGGGAGGGACAAGGCCGTTGGAGCCATTCTACCGGCAGTTACGGCTATCGGGCCCCCAGGTCGGCAATCGGACCTAGATCAGATTCCTAAGGTCGGTGGAGACTGATTATTCTTCTCAACTCGGTATGATGTCAAGTTGGCAGATATGGATGGTCCATTTTATCACTTATGGTGACTCAGAACTAAGTTGGAGCGTACATGTATCGAATCTTAATTTCACCACCAACAAACTTTTTGTTAGACCGACTTGTTTCTTTGGCATTGAGGAAAACAAATTCTTAGGATGTATCTTTTGATAACTCAAATATTTCCAATAATATATTTCTATTGTATAATGGTGGTGAGTGTAACTAAAGTTTTACATTGGCTAGAAGTGGTATTGGTATCATACTTTGAACTTCACATATGAATGTAACTCTTAAAATAACCCAACAATAGAAAAATTATTGAGAGGAGACTCATGGATCCTTTGATGGAGGGAAATACTGTGAGAAGTGTAAAACAACAATGGGTCAATACTATTATAAACATTATAAAAAATAGATGCCCAACTTATGTGTCAAAGATGTCTTAAGCCCATGTGTCAAAATTTACATTTGCTTAGTGTTTCCAAGTGTCAAATTGACACATGTCTCAGTGCCTAAATTCTAAAGGTCTCTTACGTCTATTTTATACCTATTATTAGTGTCCAATTGTAACACTCATGGTTGTACAAATTACCTATAAATAGTGGCAATTTATTGTTCATTTGATAGTGAATTTTGGTGGAAATTCATGTTGAATTTCTAAGAGAAACTGAAGAGATTGCATTTTCCTCATTTTGCTCCATAATTTTACAAGACGTTATCAATCTGACCCTTTGTCAATTTTCCCTTTTAAGGTAGGTCATAAAAGTAGGTTATTTGATGATTTTTCATGCTTATGATATATCAAATTTCTAATATACAAACATTTTCTTTGTAATAATGTTACCATCACAAATCTCTCAAAATTAGAGTTTACTGCCCTTGACATCAATGACAATAATTATTTGTCATTGGTACTTGATGCTGAGATTTATCTTGATGCTATGAACCTTGGAGAAACAATCAAAGAAGGAATTACAACGACAAGTCAAGATAAGGCAAAAGCCATGATTTTTCTTTGTCACTATCTTCATGAGGGATTGAAGATGAAATATTTGACAATAAAATATCCTCGTGTTTTATGGCAAAATTTGAAAGAGAGATATGATCATCAGAAAACAGTTATTCTTCCTCAAGCTCGATACGAATGGATGCATTTGAGGCTCCAAGATCTCAAATCAGTAAGTGATTATAATTCTACGTTATTTAAAATCGATTCTAAATTGAAGTTATGTGGAGAAAAAATTACTGATGAAGATATGCTCGATAAAACATTCTCTACCTTTCATGTCTCTAATATGCTCTTGCAACAACAATATCAAGATAAAAGTTTTAAAAAATATTATGAGCTCATATCATGTCTTCTTGTTGATGAGCAAAATAATGAGTTGTGGATGAGAAATCATGAATCTCAACCAACGGGAGCAACATCATTCCTTGAAACAAATGCTATGAATCTTAATAATCGTAGTCGAGGTTGAGGCCGTGGTCGAGGTCATGACCGCGGTAGAGGAAGAAATAATAATTTCTTTCGTGGTGATCATTATAATCATCCAAATTTCAAAAGAACCACATGAAATAATTATCATAAAGAAAAAGTTCAACTGGATCAGAATTCTAGAAACGTTGAACGTAAATATTTTCGATGCGGAATAACTCGACATTGAGCACGTATTTGTCATACGTCGAAACATTTGGTGGATTTCTATCAGGCTTCCCTAAAAGAAAAGGGAAAAAATGTGGAGGAAAATCTTGCATATGAGGATGGTGATATATTTGATCCTGCCAACATAACAAATTTGGATGTGACAGATTTTCTTGAATCTCCTTGAGAACAAATTGGCACAATGGATGGAATTAGCAAATGCTTCATTTGATTTTGAAAACATCCAAAATTAATGTTTTTTTTCTTCATCTATCTTTCATGTGTTTTTTAGCTAAGGTTGGCTTTTTGTATTTCAAGTTTTTTTTCTTCTCTTCTACTTATTGTAATTATTTTGTTTAATGAAGAAGCATGAATAGTTTTCATATATTGAATGACTCGAAAATAAGCAATGAAGATCTATGTCTGGCAGATAGTGCAACAACGCACACAACACTTAAAAGTAGAAAATATTCCTTTAACTTGACAATGCTAGATGAAAAAGTCAACACAATATCAGGTTCTGTAAACTTGATTGAAGGTTTTAGAAAGACAAATATTATTTTACTTAGAGGAACAAAATTTACAATTGACAATGTATTATTCTCTAGTTAATCAAAGAGAAAGCTATTGAGTTTTAAAGATATACGTTGCAATAGTTATCATATTGAGACTGATAACAAGAATAATATAGAATATCTCTATATTATATCTATTGTCTCGTATGACAAACGTATACTGGAAAAGCTATCTGCTTTATGTTTGGGTTATATTATACTCATATACGAGTAATTGAAACATATGCAACATATGCAACGTCCAAAAACATATTATATCTATTGAAGGTTTTGGCATGACCGATGGGGTCGTCTAGGGTCCATAATGATGAGAAGAATTATTGAAAATTCACATGAACATCCATTCAAAAACCAAAAGATTCTTCAATCTAATGAATTGTCATGTGATGCTTGCTCTCAAGGCAAATTAATCATTAGACCATCACTAACTAAAGTGGGGATAGAATCCCCTACATTGTTAGAATGAATTTATGGTGATATATGTGGACCTATTAATCCATCAAGCAGACCCTTTAGATATTTTATGGTGTTAATAGATACCTCTAGTGGATGGTCATGTGTATGCTTATTATCAAGTCGAAACCTTGCATTTGCAAGACTACTTGCTTAGATAATTAAGTTACGAGCACAATTTCCTGATTATACAGTTAAGAGCATTCGTCTTAATAATGCTGGTGAATTTACATCCCAATCATTAAATAATTATTGTATGACAATTGGGAAAAGTTTTGAACATCCTGTACCTCATGCTCATAAACAAAATGATTTTGCTAAGTCATTTTAAAACTATTACAGTTAATTGCGAGACCATTACTTATGAGAGCTAAGCTTCCTATATCTGTGTGGGGACATGCTATTTTGCATGCAGCATTGCTTGCATGCATTAGGCCAATAGCCTATCATAAATATTCTCCATTACAATTAGCTTATGGCCAAGAGCCGAATATTTTCCATCTGCGAATTTTTTGATGTGTAATATATATTCTCATTGCTCCACCACAACGTACTAAGATGGGCCCTCAAAGTCGGTTGGAAATATATATATGTTAGTTTTGATTCCCCATCAATCATTAAATATCCTGAGCCCTTGACAGGTGATGCATTTACTGTACGATTTGCTGATTGTCATTTTAATGAGACAAATTTTCCAACATTAAAGGGAGGAATTAAGAAGTTGGAAAAAGAAATTACATGGAATGCATCTTTATTATCTCATTTAGATCTCGTACAGATCAAAGTGAACTTGAAGTTCAGAAGATAATCCATTTTCAAAATATAGCAAATCAATTATCAGATGCGTTTATACATGCTAAGAAAGTGACTAAGTCATATATCTCGGCTACAAATGCTCCATTGAAAATTGATATCCAAATACAGCAAGTTGTCATTAATGAGTCTGTGACATGCCAAAAGCGTGGGAGACTAATGGGTTCTAAAGATAAAAATCCTCAAAAAAGAAAAGTAGTCAATAATCAAAATGACTCGATTAAGAATGTGGATATCCTAGAAGAAAACCTAAACATGACTACTCATGAAAATACCGAGGAAAGTCAAGCACCTGAAGATAATAATGAGATTTCAATAAATTACGTCATGACAGGGAAAAGATGGAACCAAACTAATGTAGTTATTGACAACATTTTTGCTTATAATGTAACCCTT